TCTTTCTATATTTCTCGATCTCTCGTTCTATCTATTTCTCTCTTTCCTTCTCTCTCTCTCTTTCTCTCTCTTTTCTTGCTATATCTATTTTCCTCCCCTTTCTATTCTCTTAATCTTTTACTATAATTTATTCATTGAAAAGTCCTTTTAACTAAGGTAATTCTTAAACTCTAAGAGGAGTATCACTGTTCTTTTTATCCTCGCATCGTCTGAAAGTCAACCCTTGAAAGAGACTGCAGTTGACCAATTACAATCGAACCATACAATTGGTTCTGGCACGCCCGTTTTCCATCAATTTAAGATCGGCTCTAGCCAGCCGATTTTAGCGTCAACATTTTTGGCACGCCCGGTGGGACCCATCAGGTGAGCAAGTTATAGTAAAGATGCCTCTAAGCTAAGAAATTCAAAAGGTCTGACAATAGGTGACAATGCTGACGAGGAGAACCAGCAACTCGGTGTTGGTGATGATGCCGACTCATCTATTCCATCCGATCTTCCTTTGGGTTGGGTACTGGAATCGATTATGCAGAAAATTGATGCCCAGCAAGCACAGATCGGTGAAGTAAGGTCTCAGGTGGGGGAATCAAATCAAATTTTGGTTTCTCAGATACATGAGACGAGGTCAATGACTGGAGAATTAATTCAAATGATGTACGCTCAAATGGAGAAGATGAATTAAAGGCTTGAAACCAGTATATCGGCTAATCAAAATCGACATGATCAAGCAGAAGCATCTCATATTAATGAGTTCATATTTCAGCGTATAACGGCACCATTGATACATATTTCCCAAGGGCCTCGAACAAGCATCGTACCACCAAGTGCAGGACTTTGTATTACTATCGGCAATGTGCCGAATCATACACTCAGCATACCAATGGGGAATCCACCAATCTTATCAGATCCGCCGGCAGTAAATATTGTGCCGGTGTACCAGCCACCAATGAATGATCAGCATAATCAGAATGTACAGTCTCCACATGTACAGCCGATTCCACCAGCGAGAGATCAGCAATAAGTGGTAGGTAACCTAAACCAAGGTAGGGCTAATCCATTGATACTTCCAGCGGCTGCGGGGGGGTAAGTAAATGCCGATCATCAAAGGGAATGGGTTAATCCATTCATTCCGCGGCACCCAAATGATCCTCCAGGAAGAAATGCGGGGATTGATAGGGCTCAAATTTTGGCTTTAATACAGGCCGAAGTAGCACAAGGTCGCAGACATGCTCGGCCGGTATACAGAAAGCCCTATCCTGATCATGTCGACGCCCATGAGTTGCCTAGAAATTATCGGTATCCCGATTTTTCTATGTACAGTGGCGAAGAAAATTTCTCTACGGTGCAGCATATTGCAAGGTTCACCACACAATGTGGAGAAGCTGGTCCTAGCCCTTGGTTAAGGATGAGATTATTCTCTAGCTCTCTTGCCGAGGCGGCGTTTGAATGGTACAGCAACTTACCGGCCAATTCTATTAAGACTTGGGATGAGATGGAAGAGGTGTTCCATGCCCAGTTTTACCGAACAGAGACAGAAGCTACGATGGCAGACATATCTCGATTATCTCAGTTACCGAGCGAATCGGTTGAGACTTTTGTTGCCAGTTTCAGAAAGGCTAAACTCAAGTGCCGAGTAAGTTTGCCAGAACCAGAATACATCAAGTTGGCATTGAATGGTCTAGACATTGAACATCACAAGAGGTTTGATGGGGTTGAGTTTCAAGATCTCTTCGACTTAGCAGACAGGGCTTCTCGGTATAAGGAGATACTAAAAGAAGAGAAAGAGAGGAAGAATTCTTCTAAGGGTACTTGGTACAAGGACCCTAATTATGAGGTATTCTCGGCAGAAGTTAGAGATGAATTAGAAGTTGACGTTGCAGAAGTCAATATCAAAAAGCCATACGTTTGTGAGGCGTTGGTTAAACCTAACCGACCACGGGGGGCAATTCATCATCAACATCAACATCGGCAGCAAAGAAAGGTCCTGCCGATACCGGGAAAAGTTATTCTTTCGACTTGTTGAAAATAAATCAAATCTTTGATCACTTGATGGCCGATAAGATGATATTTTTACCTAAAGGGCATAAGATTCCATCAACAAGTGACTTGAAAGGAAAAGAGTATTGTAAGTATCATAACTCTTGGAACCATGCTACTAATGATTGTACTGTTCTACAAGGTGTATTGCAGAAAGCTATTGATGAAGGTACTTTAAAATTCCCGGAGAAAACTTCAGAGACCATGAAGGTGGATACTAATCCATTTCCTACAATCACATCTACAAATGTGATAAGCTTAGCCAAGCGAGAGAATCGGCAAGAGGCTAAAAAGATATCTGGTGAGTTCCTTTCATCAACTGCGACACCTGAAAATATGGTAGAATTACAGAAGCATTTAAGAGAGGCTCAATTAGCCTTGATTGACCATGGTTGTTGCCCAAATTGCAAAGGAAAGCAAAAACCAAAGGAAGATGTGCTAATGGAGGTTCAACCAAAGAAGAAAGGAATTCTTGAGAGGCTTATTTTCCCATTGAAGCCTGAGGAGGAGCCTTGGCAAGGTGATACCAGCAACAGCCATTTGAAAGCGGGAAAGCAAACTCGGCAAGTAGATATATCTAGCCGATTTCGTCCCCAAAATCAGCATCCCAGTTTTAAGAGGCAGTCGCCGGTTCAGTCAGAAATTTAGGTACAGAAAGGAGCCGATTCATATAGAGTACGAACTGTGAAACCAAGGACAGACTCAACTGAAGATAGATGGACTCGAGTTAATCATCCAAAATTCCCTAAAGCTCAACAATATCAGAATGGGGGCCTAACTCAATCTCAGAAACGTAGGGAACAAAGGAGAAGAGCTGAGGAAAAAAGGAAAGCTGAGGAAGGAGGCAAAGCAGTGCAAGCCGAGGAATTCGGCATTCCAGATAAGGATGAGGAGCATCAGCCGACGTGGCCCAAATGCAACAATGAGTTTAAAATTCAGTTTGGCAGTTTCCCAGATAAAATGTCATGTAATATGGCATTTGTATTACCAGCAATTTCCAGGCTCCATCTGCATCAAACACAAATACTGAGAAAAATGAGAAGGAAACTCAGCTGATTCGGAATTTATCAATTCTTTCTTCAGAATTGGCATAGAAAGTGGTTTTTGAAAAACCTTTGTTAGCAATGACTCAACAACTCAGGCCTTTGTATGTTAAGGTATTGGTAGAAGGTCAACCTATTAATCGAGTCTTAGTAGACAATGGCTCGGTTCTGAATGTTATTCCAACAAACATATTGAAGAAACTCGACAAGAGTATGGAAGATGTTATTCTTACTGATGTAGCAATTTGTGGTTTCAACGGAGGTTCTACTAGCACTAAAGGGATCCTTCCCTTAGAAGTAGAAGTTGGAGGTAGGACATCTTTTGCAGTGTTCTTTATTATTGAATCCACGGCTTCATATAATTTGTTATTAGGCCGTGACTGGATTCATCCAAATATGTGCATCCCATCATCATTACACCAAATGCTGATTTTTTGGGATGGAGATAAGGTGAAAATAGTGAATGTCGACGATAAGCCATTTGTGGCAAAAGTGTACTCGGCAAATACTGTTTTGTATGACGAAGAATGTGTTCCTATTCGATTTGTGGGAACAGGAGCCAATGGAAGACCAACCTCGGCAACCATGAGAAGAAGTCTTACCGATCGTGAAATCGGCGAGTTGCAGTAGGAGAATTCCAAGCCAGGTAGAACTCCCTCGGCTTGCTATAATTGAAGAAGTTGTTGATGGAAGCGAAACTTGAAAGGGAAGCTGCTCGGCAACAGGCCTTCAGGGCCGCTTGCATTAGGCTACAAGCATACATAGCCAAGAAATGGCTAGAAAAAGAAGCAATAATAGAGCCGGGACCATTGATTAATCTTACTAAGGTTGACCGATTCGATAATGAAAAGTTGGATGCAATTCAGTTGGAAGACTTGGAGTTGACACTGGCCAAGCTCGATGATCTTAAAGTAGAAACTCAAGATCCATTAAAGGAGGTGAATTTAGGCACGGACGCAGAGCCTAGACCAACTTATATCAGTGCACTGTTAGAACCAGAATTACAAGCCGAGGTTATCGGCATGTTAAAGCAATACAGTGATTGTATTGCTTGGAATTATGAGGAAATGCCGGGTTTATCCAAAGATCTAGTGGAACATCGGCTGCCCATTAAAGATGGCTATAAGCCATATAAACAGCCACCTCGTCGAATGTCTCAAGAGGTGGTAGATAAAGTCAAAGTGGAAATCGAACGATTGTTGGATGCTGGCTTCATTCGAACTACAAGGTATATTGAATGGTTATCAAATGTAGTCCCTTTTATCAAGATAATAGAAAATTACGTATATGTGTTGATTTCCGAAACATAAACCTGGCAACTCCAAAAGATGAGTATCCAATGTCGATAGCCGATCAGCTGATTGATGCGGCTACAAAGCACCAAATTATATCTTTTATGGATGGACACTCAGGCTATAATCAGATTTATATAGCCGAGAAGGATATTCCAAAGACAGCTTTTAGGTGTCCAGGATCGATTGGAACTTTTGAATGGGTGGTAATGCCTTTTAGGTTGAAGAATCCTGGTGCCACATATCAGCGGGCCATGAATTCTATTTTTCATGATATGCTCGGCAAGTTTATGGAGGTGTATATTGATGATGTAGTGGTAAAATCAACAACAGAAAAGGGGCACTTGGTTCATCTTAAAGCATCCTTTGAGAGGATGAGGGCTATCAACTAAAAATGAACGCAATAAAGTGTGCCTTTGGAGTGTCGGTAGGAAACTTTTTAGGTTTCTTGGTTCATCAAAGGGGTATAGAAATCGATAGGAATAAAGCTAAGGCAATTATTGATGCCAGTGTGCCGAGAAGCAAGAAATAGTTGCAGAGGTTACTTGGGCAAGTGAACTATCTTAGGAGATTTATTGCCAATACAGCTGGGAAATTACATGTGTTTTCCCCACTACTCAAGTTGAAGCCGATGGAAGAATTCAAATGGGATGATATACATCAAAGGGCATTTGACAAGATTAAGAAATACTTGTCGAGTCCTCCTGTCATGATGCCACCAAGGAAGAAATGGCCGATGAAGTTATATTTATTGGCTGCTGAAGAATCCATTGGAGCTATGTTAGCACAAGAGAATGAAGCAGGAAATGAACAAGCAATATATTATCTCAGCCGAGTTTTAACTCCAGTCGAGTGTAGATATACACCGATTGAGAAATTATGTTTGGCTTTGTATTTTGCAACAATGAAATTAAGAGTCTATATGTTGCCTGTTTTGGTTTTTATTGTTTACCAAACCGATCTTATAAAGTATATGCTATCAAGGCTATTAATCACAGGCCGGATTGGCAAGTGGGCTTTGGCACTAATGGAGTTCAATTTTGCATATGTTCCACAAAAGGCAATTAAGGAAAGAGCATTGGCAGATTTTCTTGCATATCATCCCTCGCCTGAAATTGAGTCACAAGTATTTGATGAGCTTGACTCGGCATCTATATTCATGACTCCATGGACTTTAATGTTCGATGGGTCAAATACCAGTGAAGGCTCGAGAGCTGGTATAGTCATAATATCCCCAACAGGGAATCAAATTTCGTTTTCTTTCTTTTTGGATTTCAGGTGTTCAAATAATCAAGCCGAGTATGAAGCATTAATTATCGGCTTGGAAATCCTGCTATAAATGGCAGTTAAAGACGTCCACATTGTAGGAGATTCAAGTTTGGTAATTAATCAAATCTCAGAAGACTTTAGATGTTTGAATTGGCAATTGAGACCATTCCATTCGTTGGCAACCCAATTGGTCAACCAATTTCACAATGTGACTTTGGAATACAGACCGAGGGCCATGAATAAAATGGCTAATGATTTAGCACAGACTACTTCAGGAGTCAGGGTGCCGAGTGGTATGAAGGAAAGGATAATAAAAATTACACGCCGATCTCTTCCATCGGCTGAAACAAGAAATCAAGTTATGGAAGAAGTCTTTGCCACTGATGTTTCCGAGTTGGATGATGATGATTGGCGAATCCCTTACATCTTATTCTTGTAACATCCAACTCCAGAAACCGACCGAAGACTAAAATGAATGCAGTTAATTATGTGCTTATGGATGGAGATCTTCATAAAAGATCGGCTGATGATGGTTTGTTAATTCAGTGAATTAGTAAGTTTGAGGGTTTGAAGATTATGGCTGAAGTACATGAAGGGATATGTGGAGCTCACCAAGCTGGCATAAAGATGGGATGGTTGATACGCCGATGTGGATATTATTGGCTTAGAATGAGAAAAGATTATATGACTTATGCAAAAGGTTGTATAGACTGTCAAAAGCATGGCCCAATGCAGTGGGTTCCAGCAATAGAAATGCAATTATTAGTTAAACCATAGCCTTTCAGAGGTTGGGCCATGGATCTAATTGGTAAGATTAATCCTCCTTCATCAAAAGGTCATCATTGGATTATTTTAGCTACTGATTATTTTACTAAGTGGGTTGAAGCCGAGGAATATGTTTCAGTAACTCATAACACAGTGATACAGTTTTTGGAGCGACATATCTTTCACTGATTTGGCTTACCAGAAACAATTGTTGCCGATAATGGATCTGTGTTTCGAGCAAATGAAGTATTACAACTCGGCATTGATATGCAAGTAAAAATGGTAACTTCCACACCCTATTATGCTCAAGGGAATGGCCAAGCAGAGGCATCAAATAAATTTGTTATTGAAATTATTGAGAAAATGATAAAAGACAAGCCGAGCCGTTGGCATGAAACCCTTTCAGAAGCTTTGTGGGCTTACAGAAATTCAAAGCGGACAAGTACTGGGACAATTCCTTATCGGCTTACATTTGGCCATGATACCGTGTTGCCTGGAGTTAAATATGAAATCTGCAAGAGTAGCTTTACAACACAAACTTATACCTGCCGATTACAACGAAGCTATGCTTGCTGAGTTATAAGATTTGGATGAAGTCCAGAAACTTGCTTTAGACCTCCTCATGGTCCATAAAGCAAAGGTAATGAAGGCCTACAACAAACGGGTGAAGTTCAAGTCATTTGCAGAGGGTGATATGGTGTGGCAAACAATTCTTCCACCTAGAAAGGTGGATAGAGTTCATGGAAAATGGTCACCCACCTGGAAAGGCCCATACTTGGTTCACCAAGTATTACACGGAGGAGCTTACAAGTTAAAAAATCTAGATGGTGAAGTGCATGAAAGGCTAATAAATGGAAGGTACCTTAAAAAATATAAGCCAACTATTTTTGAGCTTATGGAAGAAAAGAAGTTTCCAATTAAGTCAAAATAGCTTGGATTATATTTTTGCCTTTTTATTTGAACAAATTATGGATAAGTGTGTTTATACAGTAAATAAAATCTCAGTATACTTCAAAGATCATAATATCATTGTAGCAAGACTATTCAAAACATCACATTCTTAAAAAAGGCAAATTGTTCAAAAGCATATTACAGACCCATAAATGTTCAAATTTTGTTGAAATTGCTATGAAATTCTTCAAATTTGGCTTTGAAGTCTACCCACAAAGCCCGGGATTGATTAAGGGATGTTTCTGCCACTTTCTTGTTTTGCTCCAACTTCGGCATCTGCGCTTGCAAAGTTTTGAATTTGAGGACTGCGGTCTCCGCTTGAACTTTCAGTTCATCCACCTTGCTACCAAGCTGTGTCTTGTCTAACTAAAGCTAAGGAAGTTCGGCTTGAAGCGTCTTTTCCTTAGCGTCCAACTCAGCAGCCTCTTTCTTCAGAGATAAATACAGCTCCTTTCCTTTCTTTAATGTCTGAGAAAGCTTCTCTTTTTCATGACATTGGGAAGATTAATGATCGATGGTATGGACAGATTCATTATAAGCAGTGGTCAAAGAAGAGATTCGAAGTTGGAAGTTCTTGAAAAGAGCTTAGTCACCTAAAGAGAATCCTGGGTAACTACTCAAGAAGGACAGTGTTTTGGTTAACTCGTTTTTGAATGAAGGAGCTAGAGTCAAGTCTTGCTGCACCATTTGGGACAATATGTGAATGGCTTTTGTTCCTTCCAAGGGAGTTTCAGAAGTTTTTTCAGACGGGATTTCAGGAGACTCAGGATCTGGTAAGTCAAATACAGAATCAAATAACGAGTCAAGGGCTGCGAAAGGAGAATTTGGGTTGATACTGACAGGAATGGTTGGAGTAGCCAAGTCTTTTTGTATCTGAAATATATTGGGTTACTACAAGAAAAAGGGGCTTCTACAAGAGGTCAAAAACGCCGTGGAAACCTATTCACGGCGCATTCTAAGCCCTCGTGTATGAGGGTTCCGTAAATACTCAATTTTTTTTATGGGTAAAAATCTATTTCATAGAAAAATAATAGATTCGCCGTAGAAAATAATTTTGTTTATATATATTAAATTTATTTACAGCATGGATATTTTCCTGTTAATAATTAACTTACGAGGCCGTGCATGCCATAGAAAAAATTTCTACAGCGAGTTGTAACTACCCGTAAATAATCTCGCGAGGTACCAAGGCGTGCCGTAGAAAAGTTTTCTACGGCGAATTTTAGCTACCCGTAAATAATCTCACCAGGCTTTCTACAGCGAATTTTAAGTACTCGTAAATAATCTCATGAGAAATTGAAGCGTGCCGCAGAAAAGTTTTCTACGGCGAATTTTAGGTACCCGTAAATAATATAAACCATTCTCATGACTCGCCATGTATGCGGTAGAAAAGCTTATTTAGAAAGATATTCACTTATTTACGAGATTTCAAGCTCCCCGTAGATAAAATATATATATATATTTTTATAAATAAAACACCCTTAATTAATGTCATTTAATCATCCACTACCTACAATTCACATCATTCACATCACTTTCAGCTATAATTCAATTCAAAAAACATACATATCCTATTGAATATATCAAAATAGTTCAAACATTTTTACAATTCATCATTTATCAATGTACCAAAACAATTCAACATTTATCAATGTTCCAAAACAGAAAGTAAATCTATTTGTCCAGAAAATCATCAATTTCTTAACACTTCTGTTGAAAAATTGATAAACCTTCTAGCACTTGAGTTTCAGTCTGCACTTGCCAAAAAACCATCTCACTGTACAAAATCCAAGGAAGTAACTGCAAAATCCACGATACAAAATCCAAAAAAGTAACTGCATCACACAAGTCTCAAATTCATAATACTAATAAAAAAAGGGAAATAACAAGATTATCATTTATGAATCAAACACAAATATTTTGCTAAGAATTTCTTCCTTAGATCTGTCAAAAATATTTCAAGCAGATAATTTTCCTTAATAGAATACTAGATTTTTGCAAGGATGTATGAGAACAGACAATATCATAATCTCTTTATATTCATAAATACTACAATATCATAATATGTAGTCTCTTTATCTCATGATTATAAGCAAATCTGAAACATTCTGAAACAAGTTTGAAACATTGTAGGTTTTTGGTGCAACGATTATGAGCAAATCTGTAACATTCTTGTTGGAGTTAATTGTTGCAGGACCCATTTTGAAGCAGCTTCATCATTTAATGGAATTTGAACTTCTGATTTTTGTTTGTAGCAGTGTCAACATAATGATTCCAGGGATTTCAAATTTGTTGAACCATAAGTCGTGCCTTGTTGTCTGTCTATTCGTCATCAAGAAATTGAAATTACTGGATTTATGGGGCAAAGTTGTGATCTGGAGCAGAAGCTGATACAGTATTTTATGGGAAATGCTAAAGTATTGCGAAAGATGACAATTAATCCTTGTAATTCTGGATGAATTGCAAGAGGGGGAGTTTTTTTTTTATATGAACTGCTGGTGTGGTTCAGAGGGTTTCAGTAACATTAGACCCAGGCACGTATCTAATTCTGTATCAAATTGGCAAGTACTCTTCCTCTATAATTTAGCATTACCCTTTTCTTTTGTCAATAGTCTTATATATGTAGTTGTCGCATGTACTTTAGCATTTAGTTGCAATGATCAATACAAGGTCTCTTACAGCAGCAATTTTGTAGGTTTACTTCAATTCTAATTCTAAACCCTTCTGAGAAATACATATTAGGTGTGCGTATTAGGAATCAAATTGGAAGAGCTCTTATTATAGGCATCATCCATGAGAGTACATTTGTTGAATATGTGGGGTATGTTTATATATTTACATTATATATTGTGGGGTGAATTGCTTTGTAAAGAAGGTAGGTGGAATGAGTTGTATAGACCACAAGTTATTGTTACATAATTGTTTAATTCATTGATCGTTAAGTACTGGATTGAGTTATCAAGTAAGATCGAAATTTTATTGTTGTTGCTTCACTTCCACAATATATAATTCACTATCCACAAGATGACACACTACAACAAAAGTGGTCTTTAGTGATGAAATTTTAGGGACGAGGCTGGTTTCATCACTAAAAATGGCCCTTTAGAGGCGAAACTAGACTTCATCGCTGTTAACATCTTTTAGGGACAAATTAAAAAATTCGTCACTAGTCATCATTATTTTCCCAATGTGACGTGGTTTCAGGGTTTAAGATTTTTTATCTCGTTGAAACCATCGCTGGAAATCTTTTTTTTTTTCAAAAATTAATTCCTTGTGTAAATCTCTCCCACTCTTTAACTTCCCAAAAAAATCTCTCCCACAGTGCGCGATTTTCTCTTCCCTCAGACTCTCACAGACGCAATCTTCCCCTCAATCTAACAATGGGTCTCTCTCAAACCCTAGGCTTCTCTTCAACTGCTATCTCCCCATCACCAAGTGACGGAATTTAGAGAGAGAATAGAACTTGAGATTTGTCCGAATTACCTTACTAAGTCTTCGAATCTTTGTATTTGGTGGAGGGTCCAGATGCTGCCCAGGATCTGAACTTGCTAAGGTGGAAGTTACATTCTTTCTCCAGCATCTTGTACAGAATTTCAGGTAAATAATTAAATCCTCCCATCTTGTCAATAACACACACACACACACACATAACATGCTAGTTTTATTTATGTTTGTGTAGATGGAGTACTGAATATAGGGACCAACCCATTGCATATCCGTACTTAGAGTTTCAAAGAGGATTGACATTAAAAGTGGAGCACTGTTCCAAGTGAGCCTCCATTTTTTACGCAATCTTCTCCTCAATCTATCAATGGGTCTCTCTCAAACCCTAGGCTTCTCTTCAACTGCTATCTCCCCATCACCAAGCGACAGAATTTAGAGAGAGAATAGAACTTGAGATTTGTCCGAATCATTTTAATCATTTATATTGTATGCTATCTCTGTTTTAATAGTTTAATCATTTAAAGATGTTATATATCTTCATGTTTGCTATCTTATTTTGATTTACATTTTCACACACACATATATTATGTATATTTACGCTGTTTTTTTTTCGGAAAGTATATTTACGCTGTTTTTGTCTTCGCTTACCATTGGGCTTGTGGTCCAATAATCGCAACACACAGCCCTGTTGGCAAGGTCTGCTTCCACAGATTGAGGCTGGAGCTAAAATTGATTCTAGAAACACCTAAAATGGAAGTAAATATTTAGTTAAAAAAAAATCTCTTATAGAGATTTTCTAATCAAGTTATTACTGGTTCTATAGAGGGGGTAGCATAGTCCTAAGCTTTGGATTGTATTGTTCATAATGGTAGTGGATGCATGTTATTGGGTGAACTCCCATTACTTTTGCTACTTAAATTATGTCCTTAAAACTCACAGAAGTTACAAACAAACAAACAAAAAATACTTTAGTCCTGTTACTTCCTTACTTTTCATTTTTTCTTTTCTTTTTCTCTCTTTGTTATCTAGCTATTTTCTTTTACTTTAATATTAGTACTTCTATTCAAAATCTAGTTAATGGTGTCAATATATATATAGCTTCCTTAGTACTCCATATTGCACCTTAAATATCATTTCCCTCATATTATTATTTCTTTTTTGCTTTATAGAAGCAGTGAGGAAAACTCAACGTGAGCTAATGGACACATGCATATTCAATGTGGGCAGTGACTGAGGTAAATATTTCTTGTATTTATATTATTTTATTCCTTTTAGCAATAGAGTTGTCTCATATTCCTTAGGAAAACTCAGTCAGGGCTAATGGTCACATATTTAATGTGGGCAGCATTAACACAGGTTACATTTAAGCAACAGTGACTGAGGGAATATTTCTTATATGTTTTATTTTATTCATTTTTAATGTTGATAATGCGCATTGCTTGGAAGAAATCATTTTAATCAAGTTTAATTGCTTAGGAGAATATTACTTGAGTCTTTTGGTTTGATTTTCATGGACTCTATTGTTATGTAAATGTGCTTTGTTGCAGCTAATAAAGTGGCTCTTGCTGGGTATTCTTGTATACAATGGTGAAGTGCATAAAGTCAAAGCCAAAGCCAAAGCCAAAAATAGCTTGAAGAAATTTAAGATTATGGAAGACTTGTATGAAGCCCTTGAGAGTTATTTTTTGCTTGTTAGTTTAAATTTGTATTACACCATTGGAGAGTTGGTTTAATTTTGTAATGAAATTGAATATTGTAATGCAATTTTATAATGGAATTTGATGATTTACTCAAATTTGTGTCATTTTTTGGTGTTGAAATGAATAGAATTTAGTGTAGGAATTTAATTGAATAGCAATAAATTTGATTCCCAAAAGGGCATTTAGCAACTAAATCAGAGACTTTAGTGACAAAGTAGAGTGTTGCAAGTAGTATTGTCTTTAATAAATGCATTGTCTTTTTTTTCTTTTTTCTTTTTTTTCACTTGCATATAAATATATTGTGTGTATATGTGTGCACCTTTATGGCGAGTCTATCATGAACTTATTTGGCCATACTATGTCTCACAGTATATATATACTTTTATGAGTGCGGACGTGGCAAGACATTGTAAAAATGGATGTCACCAACACTATGATATAGTTTATGGACCCTTAGTTGAAAAGAATGGTCCATACCCTACTACTGTGGTACTAAAGTATGGTTCCAATAATAGATCGAAAGGCTTCAAAATTTTCATGCAAAGACAAACTACTATTCCATGTAAAACTAAAAAATTTAAGTAAAGGTATAAACAACATATCAACAACTTCTCCTCCACAACAATCAATCAAAACCTCCACATACGATGATCCCATACTCCCATACTTTCAACATTTTAAAACAAAAAATAAAAATGGCCTCCAAACGGGCCGATGTACCAATAAGGTAATAAAGTTCAAGATACACCGCAAAATTGGTCACTTAAGGGCACGTGACCCCCCTAAGTATGAGTATAAAAGCATTAAAATTGTGAAATCATAAAAGAAGCATAGTATTTGACCTTTGTTGTAGACTGGAATCGTAGAAATTCTGATTCTTCTGCTCCTAATGAACTGGTGATAATCAATCCTGTCAGAAAAAAAATATTTCAAAAATTTAATGCCAACAAATACATAAATAATCAGATCGTATGACTAATTTAAGAAATATAATAATAAGTTAATGAATGACTATGGGCTGAAGAAAAATATATTGTTGGGCAGTTTGCTCAAAATCTTTGTTTGGTTGCTGAGGAACAGGATCCTAGTACAAGCAGATTGAATATGGTCTTAATATACTCGGTTATTGGGCGTGGCATGGTACTGTTCTTGCTCGTTAGATCTTTTTATCTGTTGTTTTAGGCCTCAAGGCATCAAATTCTATTTTTTCCAAATTAATGACCTCTCTTTTTCGAGCTCCAATGTCTTTTTATGACTCAACACCTCTGGGAAGGATACTCAGTCGGGTAAGAACCTACAAAGTTAACTTCAATGCAAATCATGATTCAGAGAATTCCATGACTTAATACTTCTATTATTTTTATTTAATTTTACAGGTATCTTCTGACCTAAGTATTGTGGACCTAGAACTGGTATTCAAATTAAGTTTGGGCATAGTGACAACCTTGAACACATATTTTAGCTTTGGAATATTGGGTTTCCTTACCTGGCCAATCTTATTTGTCATAATACCCATGATTTATGTAACCATACTCATACAGGTAATACACCAATGTTAGTAGTTTTGTACTGCTCTCTAACAAGAATACTAATTGGAAAAGTAGAATGCATTTTCCCATCCTCTCTGGACTTTTCTAATGCATTGCAATATATTTGTCACTGGGTTACCACCAGCATGCATTATTTAAGTCACATACCTGCACAAACATACATTTGTTAGGGGGCATTTCTTGGTGAAATGTGTAAAGGCTGACAAGCATGAAAACGTGGGTAAGAGGACAAATGTGAACAGCACCAAGCAACCAAGGAGTGCCAGTCAGAAAGATCAATGTGAACGTTGGAGAGGAGCTAAAAGGGCAGAGAAAGAAGAGATAGTCATGGCTTTCTACCGCATTGGAAGACCGGAGACATGGTGTTAGGAAACTGTAGAAAGGAGAGAGTTCTAAGATCTGCTTGGTTTAGTTTTCTACAAACAATTCTCAAAAACTCAAAGAGCTATTTTCAGATCAACTATAAAAGAGAGATTTCTGTACAATTTTCAAAATTTTCAGTTTTTATATAAAACTGTTTTTAAAAAATTGAACAGAGCCCTCAAAAAATGCAAAAAATTAACATTTTAGAAAATTACACCAAGGCGGCCCTACTTTCTCTAAGGGAAAGCTTGGTAAGATCGAGGCATAGGATGGAAGAAATTAGTTGTTCAGATTACCAACAGTGGTTCATTTGATTAGACTACTCTTACCAGACTTTTGCTTCTTTCTACTAGGATTTATTCTCTTAATATCATCATAACTAAATGGCCAGAGCAAAGGAATGAACAAATTTGAACAGGAGTTCTCCTATTAATTATGAGTGAATCATTTGAACAAATTGAACAAATGAACAAATTTGTAAGAGAACAAATTTGGTGGTTGATATTCATGGGGAAGATTGTACTGTTAAGATCGAATATGAGTGGAAACCCACTTTGTCTGCTTTGTGTAAAAGAGTGGATCATATAGCAGAATATTGTCCTCAAAAAGTCTTGACAAAGCCAAAGAAGAAATCAGTGGATAAATGGGTTGTAAAACAGAAAGGTAAATTGGTGGATGCTGAGAATGCACAACTGGAAATTACTGAAAGGCCTGTGAGACAAGTTCAGAGTAATGTGGTTGTCCATAATTCGTTTGCTGTACTTGAACAGGCTGAGGCTGTGGAGGAGGTAACTGAAGAAGTTGACCTTAATCAATTGGCTACTTTGACACATGATAAGGCCAAGGATCATACCCATTTGGTGTCTGGAGTAGTTGTATCTGACGTTATTAAGAATAATGTTGAGGATAGGGCCGAGGGTCACAATGAAGTATCTGAGGCTATTCCGAATAATGTGGAGGCTGTGATCATAAAGGAGTTGGCTAATTCTGAGTCTATTAAGGATACTCCTATTATTGATAATGCTTGTGTTGACAAGCTTGTACAGACTGTTACAGATGAAGATGCTGAACAGGAATCCAACACTCAAATTTCTCTGAGTGCTTCTCAAAACTCTAAAAGGGATGAAGGGAGTAAGTTGGAGATAGGGAAGAAGCACAGAAATAGAGCAACTAGTGCTACTGATAGGGTCACTAGAAGTCAAGTAGGGGTTTTTCCCCCAACCTCGACTTCTAAATGATTGGATTCTGGAATGTTCGAGGCTTGAATAAGCCTAGAAGACAGGGGGAGGTTAAGAGTTGGATAGCTAAAGAAGCCTCTCACTTTGTCTGTTTTGTTGAAACTCAACTGAGAAAAGATGCATTTGTTAGGGTTACAAGGAAGATTCAAGGTAATTGGCAGTGGTTAAACAATTACGATGCTCATGAGTATGGTAGGATTTGGGTGGGTTGGAACACACTTATGTTTGATGTTCAAGTTCTGGATGTACAAGCCCAATGTATGCTGCTTAAGGTCAGAGTTGTAGTGACTGGAGAACAGTTCTATTGTACTCCTGTGTATGCTTTTAATTTAGCCAGAGATAGAGTTGCTCTGTGGGAGTCCCTGGGGCATTATTCTTCCATAGTTTCTGGCCCCTGGATGACTATGGGAGATTGGAATGCCATTAGGTTCTTTAGTGATAAAAAACTGCCCAACACAAGGACTGCCTTTGTGTCCATATGGGCTGAAGAGAACTCATTGTCAAGGGTTGGTTGATAAAATTTCTGGAAGGATCAATTGCTGGTGCACAAAACTCCTATCAGTTGCTGGTAAACTAGAGCTTATTCGATCCACAATTGCCCCCATTTTTCTGTATTGGTGTAGTATTTATAACATTCCATTTTCTGTGATTAATCAATTGCAGAGATTGTGTAGAAATTTGCTGTGGGGTAGTATAGACCATTCTAAGAAGCTACATCTTTTGAGTTGGGAGATGATTACTAGACCTAAGGCTGAAGGAGGTTTGGGGTTGAGGAAATTAGTGGATATTCAGTCCGCTTCCAAAATAGTTTTAGCCTGGGATTTCTTAACAAGTAAAGATAGGCTTTGGGTGTCTTGGTTTCAAAGCAAATATACTCCAAATTCATCATATTGGACTGCTGTACCAAGGGTTACTCATTCGGTCATTTGGAAATCCATTGTTGATATGAGAGAGATAATGCTGCATCACACTACTTTTTGTATTGGGAATGGAAATCTATTTACTCTTCAAGATCCATGGTGTCAAGGGCTGACAGTTGCCCAGAAATTTGGACATAGTGGTGAGGTCCCTTAAGATTAGTAGACATGAAGGAGAGGAAGTCAGTTGGCATAGGTTTTGCCGGAGTAAAGCAAGGCCTCGTTGGTCAGTTACTTCAGTTTTTGTGTTGCTGAATAGGATTCCTTCAATGGTTAACTTGCAAAGAAGGAAAATAACTCTGGTGGCTCGATGTTCTCTCTGTCATAGGGCTATAGATACTACTGAACATCTCTTTATTGAGTGTAGTTTTACTCAAAGCTTTTGGAATTGGTTGGGAGAGGTTCTACATTGGAATATGCAATTTTTCGCTGAAGTAGTAACCTTGGAAGATCTGTTTAACTGGTACAAGGAATTGTCATTCGTTGTTTTTCATAGAACTTTGTCTGCAGCTGCATTATGGGGTATTTGGCATGAGAGAAATGCTAGACTATATGATTCTGCCACTGCTCCTGAAGTGGTTGCTAGAAATATGTTGTGGGAGGTGTTAGACATTCACAACATTCCCTTCTCCGAATTTGTTGGCTAGCTCTTGGGTCTTACTTATTACATTGCTTGGGGAGAGTTAGTCCATTGTCTTTTTAGTCTTATTTTTCTATTTTCTTGAAGTGGATGGCTTTACCAGTGCTTTTTAAGTTTTTGTTTGTTGCTATTCTGGGGGTATGCCCCGTGTGCACCTGTACATAATTTTTTATCTTTTTATACATTCATATTCATGAAAAAAAAAAAAAAAAAAAACACAACAACATCAATAAATAAGGTAGTTCTGCAACTACTAGTGTCATAAATTTACTAATTTAACGAAATTTATCATAAGTTCAGTTTGTTGTCATTTTTATTCTTAGATGCATAAAAACACAACAACATCAATAAAAAAGGCAGTTCTACAACTACTACTGTCATAAATTTCAAAGCATGAAAAGTGCTACAAGGTTAGTCATGTTTCTTTTGACCAACTCATATTCAAGAAATTAAATACATCTCCCCAAAACCCCATTACAAAAAGATATAGAAAAAGAACAAAAAAAAGGACTAAGAGAAGTTAAAAATGTAAAGGCAGCCAGTGTGCGAGGGAAAAAAAAGAAGGTATTGCCTATTGAAATATTTTATTGATAAGAACAAACTTCAATTCGATAACATCATCAAAAATAAACAAATGCTCACATGCTGAATCATTTCAAAAATGGAACACAACAACAACTTAAAAACAAAGAGCTAATCAAGGGACCAGGAGCATTAAACAAAAAAAAAACTATTGCAATGATAAATAAATAAAAATGACAAGAACTTTCCACCACCCACTTACAATTTACTATTTGTTTTAACTAGTAAATGGTGCTTCAAATTACAACTGATCTTGTTTTTGGTTTTAATATTTTGGTTACGTGTTGGATTAATAAAAAAAATAATAAATAAATTACAAAAATGTTGTACCTGGCACTGAATTAAGGGTTTGGTTCTCCCTTCTTGTAACAAAACCTAGTTCAGGCCAATAAATACGGCAACACCCACCAAGGCTACTTCTTTTCTTCCTCAGAGACTGTAAAGAAAACAAAAACTAATATGAGCCTTCCAATCAGATTTCATAAGCTTGCTTCGGAGAGAGAAACTGAGCAAAAAAAGGCAACACTCCTGTTGGATACCAGAATCGGACGTAACTAACATGATTTATTTTCAAAGTGATTTCACGCTTGACACTTCTTATGGAGTATCACATTACACGTTCCCACCCGTTTTTTCTTCTCTCATTAGCCTATTTCTCACAAACAACCTGAGCATGTTGAGCTTACATAAACTTGATTAGAGCAGACACTCTACACTAAAAATCACCTACAACCTATCATCATATTTGAATCAGTATGCACTATGGATCCACAGGCATCATGACCACAGTTTGGGAGTTCAAAACAAGATGAACCCACATCAGCCTAGAGTGTGAGCAAATTTAAGAATCCACTGTAAACAAGCTACTATATCTAGTAAACTGATAATTAACTAAGGTGTGACCTGAATTTCATCCTATGTGGCAATTTATAACGATTGGTGTATTGTAATACCCCAGGTTTTAGATTAAGCTTTAATCTTGATTGAAGGTATGATTAGTAAATTTTGGAGACTTTCTTATATTATTTGGGAATTTTATTTCATTTTGGGAGGTGGGTTATACTTGGAATTAGATATAAATTTTGGGAGTTTATTTGGAGACATGTATGATTTTCTTTAGTTAGTGATGGGCATTTGGAGATTAAGTAAAAGTTTATTAAGTGGAGATACATGTGGCAATCTTATAGGAAAACTTAAATGATGTGTCCTCACAATCAGCCCACATAAAGACACGTTAGTAATCCATGGCTTTTACAATTCAATTGTGTCCCTCACTTGGGGCATGAAACAGAAACTAAGGTGTAGGAAAGGGAAAGAGGAAGAGAGGATTAGAGAGAAGGAGGAGCAGAACCGAGAGAATAAGAAGAGGGAGGTTCAGCCATGGAAGAAAATAAAGGGAAGAAAGGATTAAGGAAGTGCTGGCCAGATTTCCACCAGCCTCTCACTATCACCTTATGCATGTTCATTCCATCATCATCTCACCTTTTCTAGCATGATTGAGGTAGGGTTTACTGTAACATTTGTTTATTTGGTGATTTTGCTTCCCTATTTTACGTTTTGTAGCCATGAAAGTGTTCCTTGTGTTACAATTTCATCTGCTTTGCAGAACCCTTGTGATTACTACTTGATTCTTGTCATTATTGTTAAAATCCTTGTGCCTAATCTATTTGAAGGTTGTTGCTTCATTCTTATGTGTAATTGAGCTGCATATAACTCCTATACTTGAAAAGCATGTTCTTCATGGCTATGTCCTATGCTGGAATTTCCTTAGAAACTTTTGTTACAGTTTATTCCTACTGGGACCTTGTGTCTCACCCTACCATATTGCAGGTTGTATTGATCATTGGAGAACAATTGGGAGTGGCTGAAAATTATAGCATTGGAGACCATTTAGTGTTGTGTATAAAGTGTTGAGAAAATGTTTGCATGAATTTATATTTGAGGAATTGGATGTATTTGTGAGTTTAAGTGCCTAAGTTGTATCTAAACCATTCCATGTTCACTTAGAGACTGGTTGTACCTAACCTTCTATTGTAGTTGTGATGAAATTTGTATTTGGAGCTTAAGTAAGAAAACAAGGATTTTGTATTTTTGTGGCAATTCAATAATTTCTCCAAAGAGCTGTATTGATCCAAAAGCTCTCAAATTTTTACCACAGTTTCATTTATGCCTCTAGTACTTCTCCATAAAATTTCATAATTTTTAGATTAGCAGATATTTTTATAAAAATTCGAGAGTACCTGCTGTCCAGATTTTACATCTGCTGGAAATCAGATTTTTCAATAATATATTTGACCAACTTATTGATACCAGATCTTTATCAAAACTTCCAGATTTATTCTTTCATAAGTCTACTGTCAAAATAAATTTACTTTGCCCAATTCGGAGGTCAAACGAATTTTCTAAAAATTCTGAAGTATCTGCTGCCCAGATTTTCTTCAAACTAAGTATTGCTGATTTACTTCTCAACTCTGATTTAATTGGAAAATCTTCAACCTCTATGAGTTGCTCAGCTGTGTTTCACTTTGAATCTAGTTTTCAAATCATTTTTGTTTGCTCCGTTTCGTTTTAAAATGAATTTTCTACGAATTTTTAAGTAGTTGTTGTGCAGATTTTTCTCCTAACTCAGCACTCTTGTCCTGATGAATTTTTTTTTTTTTTTTTTGTACGAAATTTGGAGTACCCATTATGTAGATTTTGAGGTTGTTTGTGATGTGTTTTGGGACAATGAATGGACTACAGATTTTTATATCAGATGATTTTTGGAGAATTTATTCGGACGGTTTCCGAATCATGTTTTGTTTTTGCCCCTAATTTCGAGTCGTTACATGTATAAACATCGTCAAACGATGACAAAGACATGGTTTTGATATGGGAAAAAAAAGGATCAGGCTACTACCTATTGCATGTCATCGATTTTCTGGAACCTAAAACACAGAATAAATTTCAGATACAGACTACAGTACAAACAGTTCTTGGTGAATTCTTTGAACATGTGTACAAAAACTTGTGCTAATTTTCCTTTTCTGCAAAAATAAATAAATAAACTTAATTCTATGAAAAGAGGAACAGAATAAAAACAAAAGAGATACAAAACAGGGAGGTCATGTCACTGTCTTCAAATCCCCTCATTCACAATAGGTAATGGAAAAAGAGAGAATAATACAGATGATAACAGTTGGAGGTAGCAATAGTGGACTTCCATAGAGAATTAGATAGAAAGACGAGAGAGAGATAAAACAACTGCTCAGATGAAAACAAAAACTCGGCTCATATGAAAACAAAAACTCGAATAACATTCTGATTCCTATAGAACGATGGAAAGGATGAAAGTAACAGATAGGCAACTGTAACAAGGTACGTACCGTCGTCCATGGTGGCTCTCTTCAACTTCAATTTTTGGTCGCTAGTTGAAAACCCTAACCTCTTCGCTGGTCGGTAACGGAATGATCGACACCGTCGGGAGCCCAATCTGAGAAAGACGAGTTTAGGAAATCAAGCTTTCTTTCCTCAAATTACTGCCATCAACACGGTTGTAATCGATAGATGAGAGATTCGGGTCTCTCTCTTTCCACACTCGTTGAAGCTCTGTTTTGGGATGAAAAAGAACTCTGAATCCCTAAGCCTGATCGCTGTTCGATATAACAAAAAACAAATAAAAATAAAAAGTAAGCCGGGAAGTGAAATGTTTTTGCCGGGTGGTGAAAAGTTTTTGGTGGGAAGTGAAAAAAAAGTTTTATTGCTTATCTACGGCGCAAAAACAGATGCCTTAAATGTCAAATTTATTCACGGGTCTTTAATTTACCGTAAAAGAACTTAAGTACATTTTTTATATATCTTTTAAGTGATTTTATTAATAGTTGCTTGTTTAAATTTATTGCTTATCTACTGGGCAAAAAAGATGTCTTAAATGTGAAATTTATTCACAGGCTCTTTAATCTACAGTAAAAGAACTTAAATTCATTTTTTCTTTTTTCTTTAAGTGATTTAATTAATTAGTTGCTTATTTACGGGACAAAAAAAATGCCTTAAATATAAAATTGATCCATGGGGAACATTTATTCCGTTAAAGTTATACAAATAAGCAAAAATATTTTTCTACGAGGATTTCACTAAATCCTCGTGAAAGCATGTCATATAATGTAACTATTACGAGGATTCTTTTATAAACTCCGAAAATGATGGTAATCACGAGGCAAAATAAAGTAGCCCCGTAAATACCATGTCGTAGAAGCCCACATTTCTTGTAGTATAGCCATAGTTATAATGAGTTTACAAGAACAGGTTATAAATATATATATATATATATATCATCACTTACTTCATCAGAATCTCCAATTTGTTCACCAATTGAAGTTGCAGCCAGGTTTGGGGAAGATGCTGGAAACCTTGGCTTTTGTCCTACTGACAATTCAATTTTGTCTTCATCTTCAACATGGTCTGTAGAAATTTCCTGAATTGATTTTTGGTCTAAGGATACTGGAGCTTTCTAAAAATAATGCCGATTTAGTTATATTCAAGGAGTAAAAGAGGTAATATATAAGATCAGGCAACAAAGAAATTACATTGGGAGATTCAGTAGTAAGTTTCTTCTTCTTGGAGATGACTTCATCATCATCCACTTCATCATCATCGATCAAATCAAAATGCCTCTTGGGTCTTGACTTTTTGGGTTTCTTTCCCACAGTTTTCCTTCTTGTAGCTTTCTGGAAAATAAGTTTAAGTAAGGGAATGGTATGTGTCAAAAAGGGTATATATGATTCAATTAGGAGTATTACCTGAGTGGCCGAAGATGGGGATATACTTTGCAAAGGAACATAGAAATCAATATAAGTTTCTTTAGACTTGGTAGGTGCAGATTTCTCTGGTGCATTGGAATACGTGCCTGGATTTATGTTACCCATTGTTAGTGATCATATAAACCAAACAGAAGCTATATGGAAAGGACAAGGATGTAAAACTTACTTTGTCGAGAGCGAGATCTGGTCCTACCTGCAGGAGCTGTAGGAGGAGGACGAGTTGGTACAACATTTGTTACGTTCTCTTGTTCAGGAGCGGCAGTAAGATCAACGGGTTCAATGGAATCCACACCTTGAAAATTGAGGGATATGAATTTGTAGGAACCAAGGAGAGTGCACACAAGTTGACTGGAATCTACAGTCCTTGTAAAATTGATATATGAAGCCCACCAGGTTTCAAAGCTTGGATCTGTATGCGGTTCTTCCAGAAAGGACTTTTACTGAAATTCTTGAAGACGTTGGGTAAACCGATTGGTAACATCCTAAATTTGTTCACTGTTTGAGAGCTTAACCCGCTTGTGATAATTCTTGTTATAAGAAAAATGGGGAGGCACTGGGATCATTTGCGTCAATCCAAATTGCCGAGCTAACTGCGCTGGGTTGTAAAATTCAACCCCAGTTCGGCTCTTGGGCAGATTGGGAGCAACGGTGTTGCAAGTTATATCTCTTGTAATCAAGAAATGGGCCCATGAAGTGATGTAAAGGTCAATCTGTTCAGGTGAAGACTCGGCAGTAGAAGGAAACAACCAGAATGGAGCTAGTTGACATTTGGAAAAAGGAAGGAATTGGGATTGAGTCCTGATCTTGCATTGATGATAGAAAAATTGAAAACAGATATTAAAGGAGTGGTCTTTGGGTTTGACTCTAGCATACCCGAATGACAGCAAAGGATCATTCCGAGCAAGCCGAATGGGAGGAGCTAGTTTAGGAAAATATGCATGTAGCCAGAATTGGTAGAGCCAAAGTGGTCCTCCAAACCTTGAAAAGTTGGAAGTAATGAGATCGAACAAGCCTCTATACAAAGAAGCTAAGAGAAACGGAGCTAGTGCCATGGGTTTTCTTTTAGATAGGGCAATGGCCAATTGGGTAAGGTCTTTGGTGATCTGAATGGCAGGGGCACACAACAAATATCTACATAACCACAATAGTAAAAAACCTATGTGTTCTTGTTCATCTACATCGGTCCCTTCTTCCCCCAACATTTCTTTTAAAATGGGACCATGTGATTGCACATAGGGTTTAGCCTCTTTTTGTTCTGGAAAATAAAAGAAGGTCTCTTCATCCTGAAGGAGATAATTGATTTCATCTCCCCCAGGCCTTAACCCCGTTAAAAAACAGACATCCCTCAAGGTAGGGGCCATCATACCACAGTGCAAGTGTAGTGAATTGGTTGTGGGTGACTAGAAGTGTAAAGAAGCAAAAAACAAGGCTCGGTCAAAAGTAAAAGGGATCTTACTGAGTTGGATGAAGTCGTAAATACCCATCCTTTTCCACTGCTCTCCTTTCGCTGCTGATACACGATCCACCCAGTCGTTCCATTGGAGCATTGGTGGATGCCAATTTCTAACAGAGAGGGTTGGTCTGTCCCCTTCCGCTGTCAGATAGAGAGGTTTTGAGAAAAGAAGTTGTTGCTAGGCTTGGGGATAAATCGAAGATAACGAAGGAGGAAATCGATTAAGAAACACTGGGCCAAGTCCCTTAACGTTTCTGTGATATCGATCAAGGTGGCGGCATTCAAGTCGGTTGGGGCTAGGGTTTTGATTATAGATTTTGTCATTTGGGTATGCGATGTTGCTTCGGGAGAGGGAAAGTCAAATCACTTTGCTTCTGTAATTTTGAAGCCATGGTTGCAAGAAGGATTTAGTTGTAGAAAGAGTTTTAGAGAGAGAAGAACTTTGATAGAAAAAGAGAATTTCATTTGCATAGTTTTGTTCAAATGAGAGAAGAGACATGTTTTTTAGTGGAAGATGAAAGGATCATCACAATGTAATTAATGACTGATAAGATGGGTTAGTGTGATCGACATATTTGGGAAATCTACTCCTGATTTAACTCAAGAGATTATATGATATGTGTGCTATGTCCCAACGTAATGGGTGTATTCAAATTTTGGAAACCGAAGGGTTAAAACGGCTACCAAAATTGGGGGGCATTGTTGACACCCATTTTGGCATTTGGGTTGTAGACCCATCTTCGGCCCAATCATGAGTTCATAAACCAAATGTCCTTGGCACCCATTTTGGTAATTGGGTTCTGGCCCTAATTGAATTTGATGAACAATAAAGTAAGTAGTAGTATAAGCCGTGTAAAACCTGTGAAACAATGATGTGCTGGAGGATTGGGCCGAGAGGATAATGGGCTGAAACATGCGACAATGAGAATGGGCTAGAAGATATTTTGGTAATCAATTGATTTGGTCTTCGGCTGGGATAGTACAATACAGTTAGAATGTTGGGCTTCACACATCACATGGATTGTGGTTGGTTTCGATGACATGGCAAAATTACAAAAGATGGCAAAGCTACATACAAGGGCACTACAGATAGGATAGAAGATATTTGAATTGCAAATATATTAGATAAGAGTTATATATTTATCTTGTATTTAAATGGAGTTAAGAGTTAGTATTTAGTTAGGATTGGTTAGATTTGAATAATTATTTAGATGTATTAGAATACAACTAGGATGCTTGTATTTAGGTTTTGTTTATTATTTACTCTATAAATAAACAGAAAGGCATGCTGTGTAAGAGGTCCAGCACCCTCAGAATCTTTATTATTATTTGTTTACTTTCTCAAGCTTTTCCAAGAATAGCATCCTTACTATTTCTTCTTTCTTCTTTCTATATTACTCGATCTCTCGTTCTATCTATTTCTCTCTTTCCTTCTATCTCTCTCTTTCTCTCTCTTTTCTTGCTATATCTATTTTCCTCCCCTTTTTATTCTCTTAATCTTTTACTATAATTTATTCATTGAAAAGTCCTTTTAACTAAGGCAATTCTTGAACTCTAAGAGGAGTATCACTGTTCTCTTTATCCTTGCATCGTCTGAAAGTCAACCCTCGAAAGAGACTACAGTTGACCAATTACAATTGAACCATATATTTGGTTCTGGCACGCCCATTTTCCATCAATTTAAGATCGGTTCTAGCCAGCTGATTTTAGCATCAACAGATGGAGATGGCGGTTGAGATAGATCCAGCGGGACAGATCCAGTGACTGGATGGCGCGTTGACGACTGAGCAGAGAGTTGAAGCGGCGAGGGTGCGAGAGAACAGATAGCCGTTGGTGATGACGACAGATCGCGATGGCCGCACAAGCTCTGAATCCCTCGAATCCCGCCAAGGTGGAGCCAGATCCCGAAAATAATGGGGCTTTCTGGTGGTTCCTTCAATGGCGGCCGATATATATCAGTCGGCAGCGAAGGCTCCGGAGCTGAGAGTTTGCGGCGGCGAATCGAGGTGGAGACGAGAGAGATCCGGCAGAGGGTTTTGAGATCGAAGGCTCGGCCGTGATGGAGCCAGTCGGCGATTAGCTTGCCGGTGGAGGGCTCGGCTTTGGACGATGGCGGCCGTGATGGGCGTGGCTGACTGACAACGGCGGTGACGGGTTGACTTCGGATGGTGGCGAGGACGGCTCGGCTGAGGACAACTCGGATGTGGAGAGCTCAGCCGTGAATAATCTGACCGGCGGTGGCGATGGCAACCAGCGAGGACGAAGATGGTTTGGGCTTGTGGCGGTGCTTGGAGAGAAGAAGAGAGAGGAAGAATTGAAGGAAAGAAAATGGGTTTGTCTGATGGATCCTACCCGGATAAACCCAATTTGATTCAATATGATTCATTTTTCATATTTTGGACAGGTGTCAAATTTTCATAGGGTG